TCCCTGTTGCGTCTCCCTCCCTCCCACCCTCCCCATCCCACCCCTCCAGGCTGTCACAAAGCACCGAGCCAACATCCCTGTGCCATGCGGCTGCTTCCCACTAGCTATCTACCTTACTGCGTTTGTTAGTGTGTATATGCCCATGACTCTCTCTCGCCCTGTTGTGCTGAATTTTGTTTGTCTTTAAAGACTGTTGAAATTTGTTTTGCTAGGTACTTAAGTTACTTGTGGATCAGTTTTGTTTGTAAGCTTTGTTAGGTCAGGTCTGGAGTAGCCTTTACTCAAGGGCTAGTTTAGCCCTATTACTAAGATGTGATCCTTCTGGAATCCTTTCTGAATGTCCTGGGTGTTCAGTGAGACCTTTCCACTCAGGCTAATTGCAATTCAAATTTTCCCTAGCCCTCTGTGAACTCTTGGAATTATTCACATTACAACTTCCTTGATTTTTTTTTTTTTTAACCTTGTTTTGTGGAGTTTGACACCATAACACATGTGGCTTTGTTTTTGGCCAGACTCAAGCGAACACCACGCAGATTTCTAGAGCTCTTATTCTGCATAGTCCCCTCTTCTCCAGTACTCTGCCTTGCATATTCCAGCTGCCTTAGCCTCCCCCAGCTCTGATCTCTGCCTTTTTACACAGTGTGAGTCCTGTGCTCTACTTGAGGTCTTCTGTTCTGCTCTGCTGCCTGGCATGTGCCTTTGGGTAGTAAGCTTGGGCAGTAGTAGGGCTCAGTGAGGTTTCTCTCAAAGGTCACAGCTCTGGGCTGCCTTTTGACTAGCATCTGAACAGTTGTTTCATACATTTTATGCAGATTTCTAATTGTTTAACTCCAGAAGGCAAGTCCAAGACTGATTACTCCAGCATAGCCCCATATTCTTCAGTGTTAAGTCATATGGCAAAATAATTTTGAATACTAATGTATTTTATGTCAGCACTTTCCACTAGAGCTTTCTGCAGCAATGGAAATGCTTTATTTCTGTGATGTCCGCTCAGTAACCTCTAGCCCCACTTGGCTATTGAGCACTTGGAACGTGGTTAGGGCAGCTGAGGAACTGAGTTGCTTTTCCTGCTTATTTATTTATTTGGCTGTGCTGCAGGGCTTGTAGGATCTTAGCTCCCTGACCAGGGATCGAACCTGGGCCCCCTGCAGTGGAAGCATGGAGTCCTAACCACTGGACTGCCAGGGAATTCCCTGAGTTTTTTTTTTATTAATTTAAATTTAATAGCCCTATATAGTTAATGGCTGCTGTAGTAGACAGTACAATTGTTTTTCTTCAATATTATAAAATTTCAGCTTTTGCATATAATAGAAGTGCCGGTGGTTGATCTCTAACATGACCCAATTTAGAAAGTTACTATAGTATTTTTTTCAAATTACCCAAATAGTTACATGTTCATTGGAGATTATTTGGAAAATACAAAAAGTACAAAAAAGAAAATTTGTCACATATAATATAATCCCCCAAATAATCAAGATTAATATTTTGATGTATTTCCTTCTAGTCTTCTATAAAGAAAAAAACTGTTTTAGTGAAAAATATTTGGGTTTTTTTTTTTTAAGATTTTTTTGATGTGACCATTTTTAAAGTCTTTATTGAATTTGTTACAGTATTGCTTCTGGGTTTTTATTGTGTGTTTTTTTTTGTTGTTGTTGTTTGGCTGCGAGGCATGTGGGATCTTAGCTCCCCGACCAGGGATCCAACCTGTACCTCCTGCATTGGAAGGTGAAGTCTTAAACCACTGGACCACAAGGGAAGTCCCTTGGTTTTATTTTAAGTATTTCTGTCTCAAAGGGAAATACGCATAGATGACAAGATTAAAATGATGAAAATGTTTTGCCTTCTCTAATTAGGTTTATATTATTTGTCAGCAAAGAATAGCATTGCCTAAACAGGCTTTCCCAGCTTTATAGGTCAGGTATATGTAGCGGTTCAGGAATAACTTATTAATCAGGAAACTTTTTAATTCTTTTCTCTTTTTGTTGCAGATGGGTGTTTAACAGAAAAGAGATCTTATATTTTGCTAGTGGCTGCTTTTTGACAGTAGCTAGAGAGAAGCCAAACATAATTTAATATTGGTATTTGGCTTATTCCGCATTAGGGGAACTGGTTTGGAGACTGCTTTCAGCTTGAGTAACCGATGTGCCTGAAAATCATGTGCCAGGTGCTTAGAAACCAAAGGCCTGACCATCAAGGGGTTCGTGGTTTAGTTGGCAAGAAAACATAGTTGGATTTTCTTCTGTTTCTCTGGAGGAAAAAAAGTCAAATGTTACTGTTCATTTTAACAGTACAAAATTTAATAAGATTAGCAGATAATACCTATCATTTCTAACTTCGGGAATCTTTCTTTTAGGTGAGACGTGGAATCCGTTAAAATTGCATTATCAGTTAAGAAACGTGAGGGAACGATTAGCTAAAAACCTGGTAGAAAAGGGCGTATTGACAACCGAGAAACAGAACTTCCTTCTTTTTGACATGACGACACATCCCCTCACCAACAACAACATTAAGCAGCGCCTCATCAAGAAGGTGCAGGAAGCCGTTCTCGACAAATGGGTGAACGACCCTCACCGCATGGACAAGCGCCTGCTGGCCCTCATCTACCTGGCCCACGCCTCGGATGTCCTGGAGAACGCGTTCGCGCCCCTCGTGGATGAGCAGTACGATTTAGCCACCAAGCGGGTGCGGCAGCTCCTGGACTTAGACCCTGAGGTGGAGTGTCTGAAGGCCAGCACCAACGAGGTGCTGTGGGCAGTGGTGGCCGCCTTCACCAAGTGACCCTGCGCAGAACCAAGCGTCCTCCTTTCTCTCGCGGGAACCAGTCGTTTTTCTTCCAGGGACTCCTGGTTTTCTGCAGTTTGTACTTCCCACACTATAATTGGCTTTTGTTTTATGAAATGGTGGGTGGCTTTTTCTTTTGTGTATGTATGCAGGATTCTGCTGGTACGAGAGGCCTTCCTCTTTCTGTTGTGGAAAAAGTTTCACCGCCATACTGGCATTCCATTGCTCGTTGCCATCCTCACTGTTGCCCGTTTGGGTTCTGGTGTGCTTTGACTGTCAGAGTACCTCCAGGTTCCTCACACGCACATCTTTTGGATTACCTCAGGTTGAGTTTCTCCCACATGTGCAGTACATCTCGCATTCTGCCTGCAATTCAGACAGAAGTCACAAAAAGGCCTTTAACTCACCAAAGGTAAATATCTGTATCTATTAGGACATTTTATACATAGACCTCAGTTGAGATGTATACTTAGCAAAATTATTTTTAAATTGAAATACACAGTAAATAATATAAAGTGCCCCTTGGATCTTGCTTTCCATGTAAATCTATTGTATTATTACACTTGTCATAATTTTAACTATGAAATCATAAAGGTCCAATTGTTTCACATAGCCAGTTTGGGATGAGCTGCATTCCAGTTATGCTGTATATAGTTTGAATTACATAGAAGTTGTTCCTTCTTCTGGCCACCACTGCCCATCTTAGTATTTTGCAGGGTTTAATTAGTTGTACACCTGGTGCCCCTTACTTGCTACAGGCATTGTAATTTGATGGCAAAATAGACCTCTCGTCATTGAAGGAGAGAGAAAACATGTGTGTCTAATTGGTCCCAAGATTTTTTGAGCTGTGCCATTCATGGTACTCTTTGCCTGTGCATCTCCTTTCTGGAATTGTTTTCAGTCTTATTATTTTTATCATTTCTGTAGAGAAGAGGCTTGTGACCAGTACTAATCTTGAGTACAGTTTTATCTTTTTCTGTCCACAAGTAAATTAATGTCTGCTCTTAAATAAATATCTACTCACACTTCCTTGGGGGAAAAAAATCAAATGTCAGCACTAGCAGATGTTGCATGTAAATCGTTAGCAAGTAACGACTACAACTCAGATGATTAAGAGTTTTGTAGCAGAAAGCTCTGCTGTGTTTTAATTTTTATATACAATTATGATAATTAGCACATTGTAAGAATATAAACCTTTGCTTTTTAGAGTTTATTTTTACTATTTCTTTATCATTGTTTATCGTATTACCATTGGTTTCATAATGTAAATACTATATATTGAACAAATTAAATGTCAAATTTTTTATTACCGTAGTTCATGTTACTAGTGGGGCTTTCAGGTGTTTAGAGACTTTTTTGGTTAACATTCAATTCAAAAGTACTAGATGGTGTATAACTCTAGAGTTGAATTTTAAGGGATTCCCTAATATGTATACTATCTTTTTATCTGAAGTAATAAATAAACTATGATCTTGAAAGTGCCTGAATCAGACCAAGCATGTCATTTGTATTTTTGTATTCTAATTATTGTGGTTTTAGTTTTCTTTCTGATGAAGTTTTACTTAGCCTTAGTTTAGTATGGCAATAATTCTACGCAGGGGTTGGCAAACTTTTTCTTATTGGGCCAGATAGAAAATATTTTAAGAAAATGTTTTAGGCTTTGTGAGCCATGTACGGTGTTGCAGCTACTCAACTCTGCTGAATGAAAGTTGCCATGGACAATACAAATAAATGGGTGAGGCTGTATTCCAGTAAAACTTCATTTACAAAAATAGGCAGCTGGCCATGGGCGTTGGTTTGCCAATTCCTGTTTTAACTCATGAAAAAAGACGGATTTTTCTCTCCATTAAAATAACCTCCTTTACCTCCAAAAATGATAACTACTGGTGGTAATTAAGTATAGAAAGTATTAATTTGTAGTTTCTTCCCACAAAATGGATACTTGAAACTTATACCATGTCCTGAAATTTCCTTTTAGGTGAAGATTTACTGTTTTCCTCCAGCAGAGATTTTAGAAATGAGGTAACGGTTGTTTCTAAGGTATTCTTGGCTTTATAAGCTCATCTGTATTCTCAAGCAAGGGGGAAAGGGCCTCACCCAAACTTGCAGCGTTTGTTTCAGAGCAGAGCGCCCGTCAGCTCTACCTGTGTGTGACCTCAACTTCAGTACACGGTCGTGTCTCCAGAGGAGAGGACAAGTGGTCCCATCCAGAAGGGAGGGTGTTATCTAGAACTCCTTCTTCCTGTAGAAGGCCCCTGTTTTACAGTTCTCTGCAAGCAGGAATGGTGTGACTCCAGGGACATTATTCTGTGTGGAAGGAGCAGTATGTCCACGGGCTTATGCCACTTTTTTTAAAAGCCTTCAGATCCAAGAATCAGGCAGTGAGTTTTGATACAATAAAATTTACTGTGCAATAATAAATCGATTTCTTCATATGTTTAATTGCTGAGTGTTCCTTAGAATAACCTGGTCTGGAACAATGCTGTAACAGAAGGGAGAAAGGAAGGAAACTTCCTGAATGCATGCTCTGTGCCTAGTAAAGTATTTTATATCTTGTTTTGACCTCCCCAAACTGCAATTACTATCTTCATTTAATGAAGAACAGGCTTGGATTGGAGGGGTTGCCCAGCCTCACATTATCTGGTAAGTGTTTGAGCTTTTAATCCTGAAGTGATTGAAAACAGTAATGGCATTCAACCATAACTTTTCCTTTCTTATTTGGGGACTAGGAGGGGGCTTCTTTTCCTTAACAGAGACAAAAACCACGATAGCGGGCATGCAGAAAATTCTCATGGTGGTGCAAAATACAATGATAAAAGGATATCCCTGCTTTATTCTGATATCTTGGTATAACTTACATAAATTATCTTTTGGGGGTGAAAAAGTTGACTAGTTCTATATATTCTCAGGAGAAACGAGCATCATCAGATGTCACTTGGCCAAGAAATCCCTGGCCTGCTGAAGCAAGATTGCCTTGTGGCCTCTGATGCATTACGTTACTCAGTTCTTCCCCTCGTTTGCAAACAGATGGGTACAATACTTTTTTAAAGTATGACAAAGCCTTGAATTTGGCCACCACCTGAAGGAAAGTGAGAGGGGCTGGTGTGTGGTTCAGTGGCAATATAGGACCAATGAGTGATGACATCCAGCCTGATGATGACAGGAGTCCATGACTGCCATGCATGGCTACTCTTGCCCCAGGAACATGGAAACCACTAGTCACAAGTCTATGTGAGGTATTTATGAAGTTTAATTCCAACTCAATGGCCTCTCCATCTTAAATGGAGATATTTATATTGTCAGATAACATTGTTCCATTTCACTTTCATCCAGATCAAGATGACTGACAACCTGAGGTAATTTCTAATTCATTGCAGTCCACTGGGTCCCAGAATGATAGCCCTGACTCTTGTAAGTTCTGCATGAATGTCGTATGTTCTTTAATAGCACCAAGTAAGGAAGTGATGTTAAGGCTTGTCACCTTGCAGGCTACTTACTCTTCAAAGAGGCATGGATGGTAAAGTTAGATTGATATCCACACTTCCTCAGCCCAGTATTAGAATTATGTAGGCAATTACTCCTGATAGAGCGGTGGTATAACTGTGATTCCCACTAGCATCATTATATACTGGTGTGCAATTTACTTTTTGCCCTTACATTGTAGAGAACTTTCAGAATAAGCACACATCATTCTCTTTAATCATTTTTGGCTTCATTGTATAATTTCTCCTATTAATGGACATTTGGGTTCTTCTCATGTTCATTATTACAAACATATTGTAACGTATATTTTTGTACATATTTTTATATTTGATTTCCATAGGAGGAATTAATAGAAGTAAGTTTGCTCAAAGACTATGCCTTGAAAATGTAAAAGATAAAGCCGAATTTTCTAAGATTCATGTTAAGTTCCACTTCAAATAATGTGAATGCTGGTTTCCCCACACCTTAGCTAATACCGTAGAGGGTGTCATCAATCCTGGTCTTTGCCAAGGTAATAGTGAGGAGTATGGTCAAATTGTTTTACTTATTGAAGGGTTGATTATCATTTACTATCTTTATTGGTAATTTGTATTTTTTTTCTGTGAGTTACCTGATCATGTTCTTTATCCATTTTCTAATTTAGGGTATTGATCTTTTTATGTATTGATTCACCAGGACTTTCCATACATATATTGTGGATATTAACCCTGTGTCTGACAGTGATGCAATTGTTTTTCTCAGTCTTTGGAGTTGGTATATATGGTAAGTAATTTTTTTCCTTTTTTTTTTTTTTTTAACAATTCAGAAAAGTGTAAGGTGCAGAAGTGCTTAAGCATGGAATCTGTGGAGACCTTAATTATCATACTAAAGAGATCAGCATGGTATTCAGGTTTGGGGATATATTTCATAAAAATTTGGGGAGGTATGATTAAATATAACATATAAAAATCATGAAAAATACGTATAATTATATGTGTATATAAAGGTTTCATGTAATTTTTATGATTAAAATACAAATGGAAAATCTCATAAACAAATGTATAGGCTAGTGGATTATCTTAAGGCGAACATGCTTGCAGCCGTCACCCAGGCCAGGAGATAGAACCTTGCCAGCTGTCCAGAAGCCGTTCAAGGCTTCCTCCTAATTACAACCTCCCTAAGTCTCTATCCCAACCCAGTATCCATCTTTAATAATTTTGTTCTGTTTCATTTTCGTTTTATATGTCTGTTTTAGTTTCTCTCAATCTATAAGTTCTTTCCCTCATCTCTCTCTATTTTTTTCCTTGAGGAATATTTGTTGATAAAATTGGATCCCTTGTCCTGTTGTTTGGATTTTGCTGATTGTATCCACATAGTGTAGTTTAATGTGTTTTATTGACCTCTACTTCCTGAGAATTGGGCGTTAGAGCTGAGGCTCCGTCAGATTCGAGTTGGTTTGGCACCTGTTTCATCGGTGGTGGTGTGTTCTTTCATCAGGAAGCACATGGTGTCTCTCTTTTTGTGATGGTTTGTGATAGCAATCTTGCTGTTCAGTTCTTAGATCCTGTGATTTATTGAGGTTGCATGTGGTGATATTTTAACTGTTATCATTTCTCCTTTGTTTATTAGCTAAAGTATTTCTGTGAAGAGAAACTTCACCTTACCTACAATACCGTTTAGTACAGTTCATAGAGGAAAGGTAGGAGAATTTCTACATTTTATTTACCAGTTTTCAAAATAGACTTGGTTCCAAAGCATTCTCCAAAGGTGACTGATTAATTTTCTTTAAGTATCCTGAACTTGTGGAAATTAACATTCTTTTATCATCATCATTTTCCTTGATGAGAAGTAGGATTCTTGATACGGAAAAGTAGAGCTATAGCTTTCAGACAGAAGATAGAAAACCCTTGTTGTTCTAAATTCGAATCAGAAGTATTGGTGTAAACTTACAGGGTACTTTATTTCTTCCTTTTTTATTGTGGTAAAATATACGTAACATAAAATTTACCATTTCAACCATACTCAAGTGTACAGTTCTGTGCCTCTGCTTTTTGTGGTTGTGCTGCACCTGCTTTGTAAGAACATCATCATTAGATACTAGAATCTCTCCCTTTTAACTCTTGCTTTAGTCTTAATTATTCAAGTAAATACATGCTTAATGCTCACCACCAGCCCCTACGTCATCTATCCAGTCATTCTGCTTGTCTTGCTCATTTGTTAGTAGATTCTTCTGGAAGGGCTTGTGAGACTAGTATACCCTGAGTTTTCGTATGCTGATAACAGTTTATCTGTAGCCTTTTGTATGAAAGTCTGTTTGGATAAAATGGTTGGGTCACATTTTTTTTTTTTTTTTAGTATCTTAAGTATGTTCTTTTTGCTTTAAAACGTCACTGTCAATGTCTGCTGATAACATGATTTTCTTTCCCTCATGAATGCCTTATTCTTTTTTGCCTGGAGCCCACGGGATTTTTTTCCTCCGATTTTTCGCCAGTGATGTTACTGCGGTATGTTTTGGTGTTGGTTGTTCTGGATCCGTATTCCCAAGTACCTGGTGTGTTCTTTCAATATGTAGCATCAAGTCTTTTTTTATTCTCAATTTCAGGAAAATGAAAGTTTTAATAATTGTTCTGTTCCCTTGTTTAGGCTTTCTTCTTTGGGGATTGCTATCATGTATGCTGTTTTGGGTCACTTTTGCTTGGCTTCTTTTCTTTATTATTGATCTTTAAATGTTTTACCTGTTTTCTCTTCTCTTCCTCTCAAGACATCCTGTTTATTTACTGTGAATGATCTTCCTAGTTTAGTTTTTTCTGAAATTAATTTTTTCCTGAGTTTTAATAATCAATTTCTAAATTTTTCTAATTTCTATTGATATCATTCATATTTTGTGTCATTTTCCTGATGTATTTTAACTCATTTTTTTTTGTGGTACGTGGGCCTCTCACTGTTGTGGCCTCTCCCTTTGCGGAGCACAGGCTCTGGACGCGCAGGCTCAGCGGCCATGGCTCACGGGCCTAGCCGCTCCGCAGCATGTAGGATCTTCCCGGACTGGGGCACAAACCCGTGTCCCCTGCATTGGCAGGTGGACTCCCAACCACTGCGCCACCAGGGAAGCCCCTAACTCATTTTGAGGTATTATATTTTTCATTGGTTCCCTAGGTATGTCTTTCTGGTGTGCTTTTGTTGTCTCTAGGGATTATATTTTCTCCTCATGCTCTTTTTCTTATGATAACTTTGTATGGGATTTGACCTGGATTGTCTTCTGTTGCCCATGTTTACATGAAATTACTTTTCCTGTTTTAGAAGGGAGATGCAGGTCAGGGTAGCTTTTCTAACTGCGTTTATTCTCTAGAACCCCTTCCTCTGTTTTTGAGTGTGAAGAAGTACGGCAGCTTGCTTTCTGAGATCTGGTTCTGCCACTCTCAGCCACCTTTATCTGGACCTTCTTTTTTCTTGATCTCTGTTGTTCTCTTGCTCAGTTTCGATTTTGTTCCCAGTAGTTTCTCCTCAGTGTGGGGCATTGGCTGATCATTTTTGAAAGTGAAAAAACGATTCAGGTTTCAGGGGCCGTTACCCAGTCGGTCCTCTGAGCTTCCCTGTTGATTATGAGGCCAAGGGTGAGGATGTCAGGGTGGGTGTGTGTCTTAGGGGTATCAGATGCCCTGTTGCTTCCCTCTACCCTCCTTGTACAGATTCCGATACCAAATTGGTCTTGTTGCTTGTTAGTAGTTTACTCCTGCTCGTTTGTACCTTCTGGGGTTTGTGAGGGTACTTTCACACCTAGTTTTGTGGTAGATGTTTACCATGGTTTTTCTATACTAGTTGTTCTGGGTTGTATGTGTGCGGTGTTAGTGGTGGGGAAGGGGAAGTAGGTGGGATATGAGGAAATTAAAAAACTATGTTGGGGAGTTCCCTGGTGGCCTAGTGGTTAGGATTCTGGGCTTTCACTGCCGTGGCCCGGGTTCAGTCCCTGGTCTGGGAACTGAGATTCCTGCAAACTGTGCGGTGCGGCCAAAAAAACAAACTGTGTCACTGTTGTGTTATCTTGCCTGAATCTGCTGGGAGAGCCCCCAGTGGTTTTTAGTTTGTATGTAGTCTCATTAAATTATGAGTCTTTTGCTTTATAGCTTCTGCATTTAGCCTCATATTCACTTTATGATTAAAACAGTATATTTAGCTCTTTTGATGGGTTTTTATTTTCCTTTCTTGCTTTTAAATTTATGTATGGTGATTCTGGAATTTTATTTTGTTGTGAAGGATTTTGTTGCAAGGAAGCCAGCTTTTTTTACCTCCCCTAAAATATTTAGCCAGTTTTTCCAAAATCAGCTATTGTATAATCTGTTTTCTGTAACTGACTTAGAATGCCCCTTTGAATTTTCTTTGAACTCAGAATCTATCTGTCATCTTTATTCCAGTGGTTTGGCTGTCCATGGAAGAGGAGACACTTTTAATTATAGTAGTTTTTTTGATGATGTTGTAATAGGGCTAGTCCCCCACTTATTATGCTTTTTCAAAATCTGGTTATTTTTACATGTTTATCCTACCAAATGGACTTCAGAATAATTTTTTTCAGGTTAAAAAATTATTTTGAGATCATTGTTGAAATTATATTACATTTATAAACTAGCTTGAGGAGAGTTGAGATTTTTAGTGTTGTCATCCTATCCCAGAATAAGCTAAACCTCCCCATTTGTTCGAGTTATTGGTTTTATGTCCCTTAATAGAATTTTGTAATTCATTTAGATCTTTTTAAAAATAATTAATTAATTAATTTTCTGGCTGTGTTGGGTCTTTGTTGCTGTGCGTGGGCTTTCTCTGGTTGTGGCGAGCGGGGGCTACTCTTCGTTGCGGTGCACGGGCTTCTCATTGCGGTGGCTTCTCGTTGCAGAGCATGGGCTCTAGGCACGCGGGCTTCAGTAGTTGTGGCTCGTGGGCTCTAGGCGTGCGGGCTCACTAGTTGTGGCACACGGGCTTAGTTGCTCCGCGGCATGTGGGATCTTCCCAGACCAGGGCTCAAACCCATGTCCCCTGCATTGGCAGGCAGATTCTTTTTTTTTTTTTTTTTTTGTGGTACACAGGCCTCTCACTGCTGTGGCCTCTCCCATCGCGGAGCACAGGCTCCGGACGTGCAGGCTCAGCGGCCATGGCTCACGGGCCCAGCCGCTCCATGGCATGTGGGATCTTCCCGGACCGGGGCATGAACCTGTATCCCCTGCATCGGCAGGCAGACTCTCAACCACTGTGCCACCAGGGAAGCCTTCTTTTAGGTCTTGCCAGTCCTTGCCAAAGTTAAACGTATTTTTAGTTACTATTGTGAGTGTTTCCTCTTATAATATGTTTTAAGTGGTTATTATTTATGAGTAAGAAAGCTCTTGTTTTGGTGGATGATTTCTGATAGCCAACTTTACTGAATTCTAATATTTTAACAGTTTTTAAATTGATGTGTTTGTGCTTACAAACAAGTACCCAGATATATCTGTGCACACTATATGATACATTTGTTTCTTCTATTTATACCTCTTAAAAATTTTTTGTCTAATTGTATTGGCTTGTACCTCTAGAATATTGTTATCCAACAATAACAGCAGTGAACATCATTTTTGTTTGTATTCCTGAATCTAATGGGAATGATTCTGGAGTTTTTCCATTAAGAGTTTGAAGCAGGCTTTTAAAAAAGTATGTCTTTCACAGGATTTGTGTGTGTGTGTGTGTGTGTGTGTGTGTGTGTCCTACTGATATAATGAATTACATTCTGCATTTACATTTATAGATTTCTTAATTCCAAATCATTCATGCATTCCTGGAGTTAACATCACTTAGACTTGGTATTTTCTTTATTGTACTACTGGATTCATTGGCTAACATTTAATTAGGATTTTATTTATAAATTCGTTTTGTCCATTTTCATTGTTTTCTAAGCACTTCTCAAGTTCATCAAGTTCATCTTCAATGGCACTGACTTGTATTCTGCAATGTGATTTGACTCGATGCTTGTATGGCTTTGGTTTCGTAAGGTGGTCTCCTCAGTTTCTTTTTCGTTCTACTAGATCCACATTAATCTCATTTGATTTTCCTATCTCTTCTTTGATCTTGTGCTTCTTAGAAGCCACATTCTCTTTGAGTGCACTGAGAATATGAAGCAGTTTGTGTTTATAATTTTCTTTTGATTCCTAAGGTAGTTGTCCAAATTATTTTTTTTTTCTGCGTTTTGCATACTATGTTTCAACACCCTCCCCCCACCTTTCCCAGCTTGGTATTCACGAGAAGGGCCCTTGCCGAGCCTGTTTAATGGGGAAGGTGGGGTTCTACTGAAGCCTGCCATTTGGTCAGTAATGGATACTTCAGAGCTCTGTGTTTAAGCATCATTCAGCTCCTCCCTTAGAATGAGAGAGGAAAGTTGGATACCAGTTGATTTTAATCTTTATTCAGATCTACTCAGCTGCGCTGGGGGGATCGAGAAGAAGGCTGTGATCGGTGCTTGGTGTGGCTTTTACGGGGTTGGGTGAGCAGAGGCTGCTGGTCTCTGAATGGATCAGTTGAGCCCTTTCGTTTCAGAAACGTACGTGGTAGGGACTCCCCTCAGATCAGACCGTTCCTTCCCTGTTACTCCTCTGACCTGCTGAGGCCGGCCAGGTGCCTGGGAAAATCAAACTGAGCCTCCCCTTTAACTTCACCTTCTCTACCATTCTGAGGAGTGGAAAT